CAAGGGACTGTACTATTAAAACACTGAAAGAAATATCAGCACCCAGTAATTTGTATAATAGCATAAGGCTCAAATCACAAGCAGGGATGAGGATAGCCTGGAACAAACCTGTCACTGAGCCCACAACTAACTATCCCGTTTGGATGTATGAGAGCCAAAGTTATGTTTTAAGTTTTAATTACTGTTCCTAAGAGATCCATAAAACAAAAATGCCTCTAACCTATTAAGTCCCTTGACCATGGACAGGTACTTCCTGAAATGCTGGAGACTGTTGCTTGTTTTCACTCCCCTAAACAAGTTTATTTGACTCAACTGCACTGGTGTGCTTGATCACATGTAGAGAGGAGGTGCCTGGGTAGGAAATACATCAGGATGTACGCTTGCCCAGATTGGATGTAGGCCAGAGGTACACAGGCAGGACGTACATGGGAATATACGCTTGCCCCTGATTGGACCTGATGGGAAATAAAGACAGTGACCTTACAGGGTTGCCTTTTTAAGCCTCTGCAAAATGTGACTCGTTGTCATTTTCTGGGAACCCTGGAATGGTCCTGTCCAGAGTCCATCATTCTGGCCAGTATTTAATTAAAGCTTGCTTCAAATTTAGCTCAGAAATTATGGTAGTGGTCTTATTCTCAGCTAGTGGGATTAACAGATACCAGGCACCCTTACCTGTGGTTGTTTGAATGAGAATGCCCCCATAGCTCATATATTTGTTTTTTGTTTTGTTTTGTTTTGTTTTGTTTTGTTTTGCGAGACAGGGTTTCTCTGTGGCTTTGGAGGCTGTCCTGGAACTACCTCTTATAGACCAGGCTGTTCTCGAACTCACCTGCCTCTGCCTCCTGAGTGGTGGGATTAAAAGCGTGTGCCACCACCACCTGACAAGGCTCATATATTTGAATACTTGGTCCCAGTTACTAAAATTTTTGAGAAAGATTAAGAGATGTGACTTTGTTGGAGGAGGTATGTCACTGAGGACAGACTTTAAAGTTTCAAAATATTCCTGCCATTCCCAGTGTGCCTCTCTGCTTCCTACTTGCAGATCAAGAAGTGAGCTCTTAGCTGTTACTGTACTGCTGTCATGCATTTCACCCACCATCACAGACTCTAACCCTCTGAAACCATAAGCCCAATTAGACACTTTCTTTTATAAGTTGTCCCAGTCATGGTGTTTTGTCACACCCAATAGAAAAGGAACTTGTGTCACTGTTGAATCACCTCCATTTTCAGCTGCTAGTCGGAGTCTATGTCTCTTCTATGTGCCCTATAGAAACTCTGTCTTGGGTTTCAGCTGTCTGCCATCTGCCTATTCCAGAAACACCATGGCAACAGGAGGACAACATTTCTATGCACACACTGCATTTGCACTCAAACACACTTAACTGTCTGCTGAAACTGTGTCCCTATAGGCAAGATAGCATGGTCTTCAGGGGCCTCTGGCTCTGTGGCAAGTGGTTCCTGACCCGGGTATAGAGATACAGCACATGGAAACACTGCCATGGCATCATGTTAGGTGGTCTGAAGGGAGCAGTGTAGGCTATGCTGGTCCTTTGGGTTGGTGTTTGGACAACCCCTCCCTGCAGTCTGGGTACCAGATCCAAGAACCAAATGGAGCCTTAAGATCAGGAGCACTGCTTGGCACAAGAGGGGCTCCAGTTCCCTCCCCATCAACAGAAACCTCTAGGAAACAGTCATGGCTGCAATCACAATTCCAGAGTTAGCTAGATGCACAAGACTATGACTGAAAGTGATGCTGATTAGAGGATATATACTAGTTCATTTCACTCTGAACCTCAGCATGCCATGCCTCTCAGGATAGCTTTGAGGTTTTTTTTTTTGTTTTTTTTTTTCATTTGTTTTTCTTATCCTGTCAAACCCACAGTGCAGGGAGCACTGTGGGCTTCAAAGAAGAATCCAGACAGATGACCTGTCTACAAACCGCTTTCTCAGTCAAAATTCTTTAACTGGCTCCTTCCCATTATCACCCTAGCTGGGTGCTGTGTTCCTGCTACTTTTGGGGATTTGAGGGTTCTACCACTCTTAGGCAAGAGATACCTTTTACCCAATCTAAATTTTATAATCAAAACAACAATAATTTCTGGACAAAGAAACTACCTTTCCTTTTGAGTCTGGGTAGAACTCAACAACATCTCTTTGTATTCTGGAATCAGTTTCCATAACAACCACACCTTTTTTTTTTTTTTTTTTTT